ATCAGCTTGTGTGGTAGATTAATGTCATCCCAAACATAATCAACAGAATCTCCGGGCGTCAAGGTATCAGATTCTACTGCATCCTGAAATTTCCATAGCAATCCAATATAAATATGTTTCTTTTTATTAGCTCATTAACAAGTGAAGTGAACTATAACATCATAACCTTTTGATGGTATATTAATGGTGTCCCACGCAAGCAATTCTCAATTCGATAAGGTAAAGCAGCATTTACTGGCATATAAAAGCGCAAAATAAGACTCGAGCATTCTTCTACAGCTTGAATACGAGCAAAGACTGTAGATCTCTTTTCTTTGAGACTTGAGTCTGATTGGTCAGATAAAGTAGCTAAGGATCTCTTAAACTTCAAGAAAAAGCAACCAAGTGAAGCAACACATACTGCTCCAGACCAACTAAATCCAACATCTTTTAGGCGAAATTGAATAAAGACTTGCGAGTTCTCGTTCATATTTCTCTGCCTTTTAAGGACGGAGTCAAGGATGCTTATATCTTGCCTTTTGTGTATCATTTTCCTCGTCTGCAATGGTACACTTCGTTGAACATCCACTTGAGTAATTTCATCCAAGTTATCCTTAAATAAGACAGGTTAGACAAGGAAATAAGAGGAGAGTTAGACAAGGAAAATTAAACTATAGAAGGGTTTTACAGGTAAGAGTTTGCAAAATAATTGTTACTCATCGATGAAAAAGATCAGTACCTGCAGGTAACATTGCCTGATGAAAATGGGCTCCTTTGACTCGTTAGCAATGATGTATCTTGGGACAATGCATACAATTTGTGTTGGGACATGTGCTTTCTGCACGAATGGTTGAAGTGACACACCCAGCTTTGTCATACGACTAAACCCAATATCATCCTGAGCCTCCAAACATACTTCAGTGAAGCCAGACAAAATATCCAGGTCAACTACTGACATCAATCCTTTTTCTTCCAACCCTTTGAGATGTATTTTACTAGATCTACTTAAAGAGAATGCCATAACACCAAAAAAAGTGGATTATAAAAAAAATCAGAAGCCATAAAAGCACACACAAAAAAAGACCACTATAATGATATGAACTTGTGGCTCTGCAAGTGTGCCTGTGTAGTGTCCATCCGACTGGCTCTGATACTTACTTCAGAAACCATGACGCAGAAGACTTGGGAGGTAAAAGACATCCAAGTTCCGGAGGAAGGTTTGAACTATACTTCTGGAGTTCTACCCTACATATAGTAAAATATCATATTTGAGAATGAAGAATTTAGATATTTGCTAATTTGACTATGCTTACCAGCGGAGAGGCTTTTGATTGGCAGCAAAACAAAAGAGGGGGAAGTCAGTATTGTTTTGAAATGTATATGGTGAGAAAATAACCGCCTGCATATGTGCCACAGAGAATCAACAAGTGAAATACTCTAGAGACCAATAAAAAAAACTAAAGAATATTAATTTATAAAAAACGTGAATAAATACAAGAAATATTTTATTAGACTTGACCACTTAAAAAATTAAATACAGCCTATAAGAACACATGCAGTATTTTACCTACCTCCAAGAAACCCTTGTCTGAACGTGATAACCTTAAGAAAGCAAAGTACTTTCCACCTCCAAAATCCAAGTCCATATCAAAATAGTGATCCTCACTTTTCTGTTTTTGCAACTTTTTAACCCATTCAGCACTACTCGCAGGCTTGCACCTAGAGCTATATGCAGTTAATGTGACGGTGAAGTACATACTTGCCGGATTTGCATACAAAAAAGCACTTGATCCACAAGGAATAGTTGCCTGCTTTCCCATATAGTAGTCCTTGGTCATGCATTTATCTGAAAAAATAGCAGAAATTATTACTAGTCATATTTTATGAGAATATGATAGTTAAGAATTCAGGTTTTACCTGGGTGATTTTCTGTTACATGTACAAGTATCTCTGGTTGCAAGAAATTGTAAACCTGAATCGTTGGATATATAAAAATTTCCTTTTGCACTTGCAATGCAATAGGTGAAAACACAACCTCAGATGTATCATGCATATTTGGAGGTTGCATCACAGGCACGTCTCTTCCAATTGTCTGAACCAGAAAATGTAAATCCGTAAAACGCCGCCCTTCAACAAGAACAGGGCAACACAAAATGCTAAAGGAAGACTTCAATGATTTAACACCAAATGCTTTCCGGAATGTGTAGTTCAACTGATCAAAAACTCCTGACATACATAGAGCCTTTCCACCTTCCAGATCTCCTGACCATTCTACTGAAACAGATTCTCCAATAGCTTCGATATTCTCAGTAATTTCTGGTCTGGCAGACACTAGGAAATTTCCTGCAATTTTTTGGGGGCAAAAAGATTTTTTTTATCATCACAGGTGGATGCAGGAGAGAGCATAAGATCTGGTCAATAAGAATGAAGAAACAAGTATGTAAACTATAAGGTACAGATGCAAAATTAACAACCACAGAAAATGCTTCAAATATTTGAAACTGGACAAATGAATCCAATTCTAGTTCCTGTGCTCAAGAGTCCTATTTTTTAGTGTTCTGGTACTTGTCCATCTTAACATCTCATTTCAGTCAAATAAATCAACAAATGGAAAGACATTTGATTACTAATACATAGCATGTAGTACTAGGATTATGATGAAGTAGATGGAAGGTCTGAAAAAGTATCCCAAGTGGTTGTTAGTGGTACTTGGTTGTTAGATGGACTGGGCTAGTGAAGAGGCCCAATGGTATCCATGGATGCTGGTGCCTGTATGCTTTCACATGTAGGGGAAGATTGCTAAGGTAATCCCCACAACTGAAGTTTATAGAAAAATGCATGGAGGACTGGTGAACTTATCTAAAGAAACAGTTAGCTTGAGCTTTTGGCATTGAGAAAGGGGGGTTGTCTAACAGCTAGAAATGAGAAGACTTAAAAAAAAGTAGGAGCCAGATTGAAACTGATCTTGATTGGAATGCATTATTCTCGTATAGGATCGTAGTTGTACCTGTCTACATTGTGGTGATAGGCAGTGAACACAGAATAACAATAGTAATGATAACTAAGAAGTGATATATCATTTTGTCTAGGTACTAGCATTGACCAAAAGATCCAATAGATTAAAGATAATACATAAACAATCTCGGTCTAAGAAGCTTCACAAAATCATCACAAATAAACAACCGTATGCTTTTCAATGAAACATGCATACTTGCTATGAGTGCAATGATTTATCAAATAATTAAACAAATAGATAAAGTTCTAGCATACAACCAAATTCGTTACTGGGGGATACAAAATGAGGTGTCTCACAAAACCTGTAGAAAGTTGATAATATGAAGAATAAATTTGGCAATAGTGAACAAATACATTCGGTGATTATTGGAAAACTCCTCTAGGATAACAAACATTCTCTACATGTTTAGTAACAATACTAGCATGCGCATGCGCACGCGCACGTATACACACAGAGACACACATTGTAAAAAAGGCACATCCATAGTGATTCAGTGAACATTTACATAAAACTCAATCAGATAACAAAATATGGCTTAAGTAGTTACCAAGAGTGAGAGATACTAAAGCTCGTTTGGAGCCCCCAGACAATTCTAAAGCATCAAATGATGCCATAGAATCATCAATCGTGTCCCCGCTCCCAAGAAGAATAGTAGCATATTCTCCTGTTTCTTGTGGTCGCCGAAAACACAATTCCATAGAAAATCCACTTTCATTTGATATCCTTATCAATGGAGAAACACGAAGGCACAATCCTTCCTGCAAATGCTCCAATAATTAAACTGGTAACATATTAACAAGTGATATTCATGTATATAGCTTCTTGCAATATACCTCAGTTTTTTGGGAAACCTCAACTACGATGAATGGCCCAGGGAAGCTTCTTGAATCTGCAAAGAAACAGCAAATAATGGTTCCAAAAGTTAAATTACATCAACCAGAAAAATCTCATAACACACGTCACTAGCACCTTAAGAAACCAAAAAAAAAGGAACAAAGATGGGAAATTTTACATAATGGAATTATACTCACCTTTGGCATTAAATAGGCTGAAAGAGGACAAAAAGAAAAAAAATGATATTCCTAAATGAACATATGTTGAATGTCTGAGACCAGCCCCTCAGCTTTGTTTCTTCGTTCCATCAGTTGGCTAGAACCTAATGCACTTTACTTTAACTTTGACACGGCCCAGACTGATACCCATGTGTCTAGAAACTAATATATTTTAGCTTTGACGGCCATCTGCCAGACCCATACTCTGATCTCCCACTTTCTTCATAAAATCCTAAGTTACCAACATACTCCTCTTCTAGCCAACCAATTTCTTAACACAGAAGTCTATAAGAACTCTATATATACTTAAAATGAGTACACCATGGTCATTGATGTATGTCACGACAGCTAAATGAAGCTTATCCAAGCAAATGGCCGCTTGGTCTGTAGAAAATGTTCCCCAAGTAGGATAGCAATCCTGACCCACCTAATAATTTGACCGGAGTCAACCAAGATAGTATGAACATAACGGTTAGGAGGCCAAATCGGGTCAACTAATTAACAGAAGCAACATGCATGCCTTTGGGCTGATATGCAAATAATCACAGTAAATTTGCTAGCTCCCAGAACAGTTTTCAATGCAACTCATGTGTCAGACAGCATGCTTAGACCTTGACAAAGAGCCTCATTATGCATAAGAGATGACAAATCAGGTTGTTGACCTTATTGATGTGTCTAACAGGTCACTAGTCAGTGATGATGCTATTTCCCGTGTAGAGTAGCCAAGAAAATTAAGAGTCGGTAAGGTAAACACACCAGTGACGATCCGATGCTTCAAAGAGCTCATTGATCATTATAGAAACTTCAAAAGTGTACCAACCGGAATATTGGGTAATCATGTACATCCGGAGAGGGATGACACCATGCTGGCACACAATACAAATTAAAGAGAACAGATTGGACCAAGCCAAATCTCACGTAAATCTTGGTGAGAATTGTTCATGCTTATAAATTAGAACGTCTCCAAGGCACATACTTCATGTACTCAGTGTCGCTATGCTTTACAGTTTTTGTGGTTTGTAGGCATATTGGCTAACGTTGGAGTGAATATATCAGCTCAGATTTCTGGATTTTTTTTGGATGACCGTTGACTCCTATATTTTTTGAAGTGGTGTATTGACTAGCCATTGGAATATAGGAGTGGCATACTGACTCGTATACATTTAAATCATTATGCTACTCACGGCAGCTACACTCCTATATTCCAACTCCCAGTCATGTCAGAAACTCCCATCTCTCTTCATCTGCTTTGCACAAGGCTCCACCTGTCCACAGTTTTTCTCTGGCGATTAGGTCTGCAAATGTCTGAGATCAAGTATTATGAAAACACACTAAAGATCTACAGGGCTTAACCTTACATGTTCTACAGGGTTTAACCTTACATGTTTTGTGTCTTTACTGCTCTAAAGGATAATCCTCTTGGTTACAGGCTTTAGCAGCCCCTATAACAGGTATTGCTTGTGATCTTATGTACTTGCATATAGTCTCATTTTCTGCTAAACTGAAATATCAGACAAATTTCTTTTCAAAAATCATGTCAACATTTTTCTTTCTAGGTCCTGAGTACATATATTGTTGAGTTATTTAGATACTAAGTGTATTAGTCAATGTTGTAAGGACCTAGTTGTAAGAATGCATTAATATAAAAGAGGGGTCTCTCAATGAGAGAAACTAACCCTAATTTATCAACATGGTATCAGAGCTAGCCGCCTTCCCCATCTGAGCCAAATCCGCTGCTCTCCGCCGCCGCCGCTCTCCGCCGCCCAAGTCTCCCATCGACGCCGACTGAAGAACTTTGAAAGGTCACCACTCGCCTCCCTTCCCCGCAATCGGGTCCTCTACTAGACTTTGGACATCATCGTAGGTGGGGTGGGACGTGTAGGCGGAGGCGAGGCAGGGCACGGAGAACGTATCTCGGACGCGGGAGGCGGATCTCGGCCGCGGTGGGTTTTCCCGCTGGAGGCGGTGGGTTTTAGAGCTCAAGGCGGGTTTTCGAGCTCGGCGGCAGTGGGTTTTCGAGCTGGAGGCGGTGGGTTTTCGAGATGTAGGCGGGTTTTCGAGCTTGAGGCGGTGACGAATATCGATGAAGAAAACGCGAACGAAGAAGGACCCACTGCTGTGATTTAGGGATTTTTTGGGGGAGAGAGAAGAAGGACCCGCTGTTTTTTGGGAGAAAAAAAAAGGGGAACTAAAGGGGTCTGTAAGGGTCTGTATTTTTTTTTTATTTGGGAGTGCTGATTAGATCCAAAAAAAAAAATTAAAGGGGATCTGTAGTCTGTACTAGATGATCTTTTTTTCTTTCTCGAATTATAATAGCTTGTTTAGGTTCCCTCGACAGGTCAGTCCTCGAACTGATGAGAGAAGAGCTGATATCTCACCTCGTTGAGACATCTTGCTTTTGGTTCTTGTTTCCTTAGTGAAACATGAATTCTTATTGATCTATCTCTCTTGTTGTGCTGTCGAAGTGCTGCCGGATTTTTTTGGTTGCGCACCACAAGAATACAAGTTGGATCGATGACGAAGACTGAAAAAAATCCGATGGAGGAGATCATCCAGAAGTTGAATAACCTAAGGGTATTCCAGATCGAGAAGAAGATCAGCGTTATAGTCCAGGGAGAGAGGACTGTACAGGAGTACGCCACAGAGCTGGAGCGCTTGTGGCTCGATTACGATCACTTCTCGCCCCTAGCGAGCTGCAAGGACCCGGAGTGCAAGGAGCGCGAGGCCTCTTTGCAGAAGAGGACCATGTTGTTTCTCCGAGGTTTGGCTCCAGCGTATGAGCAGAGGACGGCATTGTTACTAGCCCAGACGAAGATCCCACCACTGAAGAAGGCAGTCTCGGCCATGATACAGGAGGAGAGCCGTATCAGGCTACAGTCTGGGATAGGTGGACTTACAGGGGAGAAGTCTGCACTGGTGGTATCCAACCCGGATAACACTGGATTCAAAGGGGAGACTAGACAGTGCTTCAACTGCGGAGAGGTAGGGCATCTGAGACAGATGTGCCCTAAGCCACCCAGAGAAAGGAACTGGGGTGAACGTGGTCAGACTGGTGGCCGTGCAGGTCGAGGAGGCAGGGGACGTGTAGGCCAAGGAGTTGCTTACCTAGCTGTGGCAGATGAGTCTCAGACTACTGCTGGGATGACTGGAGCTGAAATAACAGAGCTGGAGGAACTACGTCTGTTCAAGCTTCAGACTGAGAGTTCGAAGGGCAAGGGACAAGTCACCCAGGATCTGGCTACCACTACATGCTTTGGTAACTTTATTGATTATGCTCATGCGAACAAAGGCACACAGGTTCAGGCACTTGCATCCACTAAAACTCATGTTGATTGAATCATAGACTCAGGTGCATCTAGGCATGTCACAGGAACATCTAGTGAGTTTGCATTATATTATCCGAGTAAGCATATGCATCCTGAGACAGTTCAGACTGCTGATGGGACATCCCAACCCATCAGGGGTACTGGCTCGGTCCATTGCACTTCATCTGTTACCTTGTCATCAGTATTGCATGTTCCTTCGTTTCCAGTTAACTTACTCTCAGTTAGCTCTCTCATTGATCAATTAAATTACACCGTGTTATTTGATCGAGATTTGTGTGTCTTTCAAGAGAAGGAAACGGGGAGGAGGATTGGGAGTGGTATCAGACGTGATGGTCTTTGGTATTTGGATAGGGAGACAACAATAATTGTTGCTGCTGTTAGCGGAGGGCCAGAGGCAGAAGCGATGCTTCAACATTGCCGGTTAGGACATTTATCTTTTGAGAGTTTAAATAGATTAGAACCTGAGTTAATGAAGAAAGTGGATAGAAAAGAGATATTTTGTAATGCATGTGAACTTGGAAAACATACTCGTTCTACTTATAGAATGATTGGTCTTCGAAGTTGTGAACCATTTGCACTTGTCCATTCTGATGTTTGGGGACCATGTCCTACTACCTCTATCAGTGGTTTTAGATGGTTTGTTACTTTCATTGATTGTTATTCACGTATGACCTGGATATACATGATGAAGCAGAAATCAGAGGTTTACAAATGTTTTCAAGATTTCTCGGCTTATGTGAAGACACAGTTTGGAGTGCAGGTGAAGATTCTTCGAACAGATAATGGGACTGAGTATGTCAATAAGGAGTTTGCAGCTTTCATCTCTAATCAGGGAATTGTTCATCAAACCACCTGCCCAGACACCCCTGCTCAGAATGGGGTGGCTGAACGCAAGAACAGACATCTACTGGAAGTGGCACGCTCATTAATGCTGACAATGAATGTGCCTAAGTTTTTATGGAGTGAGGCTGTTATGACAGCAGCTTATTTGATCAACAGGATGCCATCAAGAGTATTAGGGATGAAGACACCATGTGAGATGCTTTTGGGCTCGAATGTTTTTGTTGTTCCACCAAGAGTGTTTGGATGCACATGTTATGTGAGAGATCACAGGTTGATGGTGAATAAACTGGATCCGCAAGCAGTTAAATGTATCTTTGTTGGCTACTCATCAAGTCAAAAAGGATACAAGTGTTGGTGTCCCACTGAAAGAAGGCTGTTTGTTAGCATGGATGTGATTTTTCGGGAGTTTGAACCTTTTTATGGGGAGAAGACGGAGTTGAGTTCCTTGTTTGGAGATGGCTCTACTGATGCTAGTAGAGGGGGAGAATGAGAATGAGAATGATATTGTGGTCGGGATGATTCCATGTCCTCTTGAGTCACCGAGTAGTGATGGTACATCGCTGAGTAGTGGTGGTGACTTAGGAGTTGGTAGTCAAAGTCAGTGGGAGCTGAGAGTATACACGAGGAGCCAGAAACAACGGCATGAGCCACCTCCCGTGCCTGTGTCAGTACCCACAAATGTCAAATGTTGATGACCCAAGTCCCTCCTCTCCAGTGCCTTGCTCTTCTCCTCCACCTGAGTCGATAGGTAACGAGTCCTTCCCTGATACCTCTGATACTCCTGTCTTACCCCGCAGAACCTCTAGAGTCAATGCTGGAAAACCTCCAGCTAAGTTTGGTAATTAGGATACTGATATTGCGAATTACATTTCATATGCATCCATTCCACCTGCATATAAGTCATTCATTGCATCGTTGCATTCAGTGCCTGTACCTAACAACTGGCAGGTAGCTAAGCAAGATCCTAGGTGGTTGAATGCCATGCACGAGGAACTCCAGGCCTTGAAGAAGAATGACACATGGGAGTTGGTACCTTTGCCAGCTGGGAAGCGTGCTGTTGGATGTAAGTGGGTGTATACGGTTAAGCAAACTCCAGAGGGCAAGATCGACAGATACAAGGCCAGATTGGTTGCTAAAGGCTACAGCCAAACATACGACATTAACTATGACGAGACATTTGCTCCAGCAGCAAAGATGAGTACTGTTAGAGTGTTGGTGTCATGTGCTGCCAACTTTAATTGGCCACTACATCAGCTAGATGTCAAGAATACCTTTTTGCATGGAGATCTTCAAGAGGAGGTATATATGGAGATTCCACCAGGCTTCACTACTTCTCAAGTAGCTGGGAAGGTGTGCAAGTTGAAGAAGTCTTTGTATGGGTTAAAACAGTCTCCGAGGGCATGGTTTGATAGATTCAGGTTGGCAGTTTGTGGTATGGGGTACAAGCAGTGCAATGGTGATCATACTGTGTTTTACAGGCACTCCAAAACTCGTATCACTATCCTGGCGGTCTATGTTGATGATATTGTAATCACTGGAGATGACGCTGAGGAAATCCTACTGTTGAAGAAGAAATTGGGAGAGGAATTTGAAGTTAAAGATCTGGGGCAGTTGAAGTACTTTCTCGGAATTGAAATTGCAAGGTCGCGAAAGGGTATAGTGCTTTCTCAGCGGAAGTATGCTCTGGATCTTCTCTCAGAGACAGGGATGTTGGGGTGCAAAGTTGCATCTACTCCTATTGAGTAGAATCATAAGTCGAGGGTGGGGACCCTGTGAGTAAAGAGCAATATCAAAGATTGGTTGGACGACTTATATATCTATGCCATACGAGACCTGATATTACTCATGCAGTGAGTGTGGTGAGTAGATATATGCATGATCCCAGAGAGCAGCATATGGAGGCAGTTCGCAGAATTCTTAGATATATTAAAGGAAGCCCAGGAAAGGGGTTATGGTTCAGGAGTTTTGGACATCTGAGAATTGAAGGCTATTGTGATGCTGATTGAGCGGGTTGTATGAATGATCGTAGATCCACTACAGGCTACTGTGTATTTGTTGGAGACAATCTCGTATCTTGGCGTAGCAAGAAGCAAGATGTGGTGGCTAGGTCTACAGCTGAGGCCGAGTACAGAGCTATGGCAGTTAGTCTGTGCGAGTTGATGTGGGTAAAAAACATATTATCTGAGCTGCACTTGTTTAATATTGCAAACAATCTAGTTCAGCATGATCGCACCAAACATGTGGAGATTGATCGGTTCTTTATCAAGGAGCAACTGAATAGAGGAGTTCTGACTTTGAGCTATGTGAAATCAGAAGAGCAGTTAGCTGATTGTTTAACAAATGGATTAGGTTCTAGAGAGTATGATATCTTTTGTAACAAGATGGGGATGATTGATATCTATCGCCCATCTTGAGGGGGAGTGTTGAGTTATTTAGATATTAAGTGAATTAGTCAATGTTGTAAGGACCTAGTTGTAAAAATGCATTAATATAAAAGAGGGGTCTCTCAATGAGAGAAACTAACCCTAATTTATCAACATATATAATCTGAAACAATCTTCTAACATCATGATAAATGTCTATATAATATATTTCAATTTATATGCATGCCAAAAAAATGGATCCAAAACACAATTAAAGAACTGCAAAGTAATATAACGGAATAAAAAAGACAAGGACTTACCATGAAGGGATATTGCTCTTGTCCTCCATGCAAAAAAACACCCTTTTGATAATGAAACATTAATAGGGGAGGTTGAAAATAATCCCTGTCGAGAGAGACATATTGATACCAAGCTTTCACTTTCTGGATGATGAATAACAGTTGCTACATGCCTGCAAAAGGTGTCAACTAGAAAGACTGAAAGACTAATCATTAACAAGAAGCAAACAAATTCTACAATTAAATTTAAAATGTGAAAAATAAACAAGAACCAAAACAGGAGAGGCAGTGACCTGCCACTACCAAGGTAAAGGATTCTGAGGATGGTACAATTTTAAGGTCCACAAGGGTTCTTTTACTGACAGAACATGTTGACTTAAACTTTCAAACATGTGGGTAAATACTATGTGGTATATGCTAGTAAAACCGCTACACCTGGCTTCACATGTATCCTAATGTAGCAGAAGGTTCACTTAGATGGAATCCAAGAAATGCAGGCCAAGGACAGAAGAAATATTCAACTTTAGAGACCCCTTAGAAAGAAGAAAAACTGAAAGTGCATTACAATCCTAAACAATACATTGAATCTATACCAAACCTCACACTCGCACACATAAAACAACTAATTGCACTAGTATGTTAAATTATGAACAATTTTACATGAAACTGCATCCACAAGCTGCATGAATATTCTCTGTTTGTCAGTGAACACCAAACACACACACAAAAAAAACAACGCAGGATGATCATGAAAGAAAAAGACAAGTCTTGCAGCAAAAGTAGGACACAATTGCATGGAGATGTAGGAAGTTTATACTATAATAAGCACAATGGCGAGTACAAATACTCAGTATGAAATGTGATTTTGTTGTTTATTGTATTTTCATGATGTATCATGTATACATTATTAAACTGCATCCGCTGTACCATATCTCCCAGCCAGTCACATCTCTTCTTTCCTCAGGACTTCATATAGTGTCCGTTGGGATGTTAAGAAGGTGATAGACCTCACATTCACTAAAGAACAATTTATGAAACATAGGAAGAAGGGGAGCATCATAAAACATTTCTCATCACGGAACATGTACCTTAAAAAAATGGAAGCAGACTGTTGCCCAGCAAGTTTCACATCATGAGTGTCAGGAAAGTGACTAAGAAGGTCCAGTCCTGAATAATTTTCTAGCTGCAATAAGGAACACCTTAGGCTTTCAGTAAAATCACTCCCAAATTTATTCACATAGAGTATAACAAGCATCAGTAATAAGAAAAAATACAACATTTTGAACTGCTCTTTTGTCCATTATACTAGATTCTTTTTTATTCAAATCTTATTCAACATGTTCATATCTGCATCTGTCCCATGTTTCTAGTTAGGTTGTTTACTCATATTTCTTTTCTTGATTAACTCATTTGCACGTTAAGTTTTTTCCTTGATTGACTAATCCATGTTGGAGTTTCATATTTTTATGTTTTTCAATGAATTATAGTGCAGTGTAGATATAATCCAACACCTGAAAAATATTTGGAGGGTTCAAAATCTCTGACGTATAATTTTTTCCTGTTCTGATTGCTCTTCATATTTCTGTTGATTCATCATCATTAAAGCATGCCAAATATGTCTAACCCTCAAAAATCTTGCCAGATACACCCTTTTGAGTGCTCCAAGTATCGTTATCAACTAAAGATACTATGGCATTCCATCCTCCATTCTCACTTCCATTCCAGTTTTGGAAGGAAATTTGAGGTTGCCGATTTTGGATGACAAGGGATCAGAGGCTCTCTCAAATGCTATGAACATAATGTTTTCTAAATTGCTCTATGTTGAGGTGCAAAGCACCTTACTTTCATACTTAAAAAGGTAAATGAATATTAAGATACAGACAATATTTTTCATGTTCAGATGCAATGGACGATACTTTCTACAAAGCTTTCAAATAAGGTAGCAGTCATGAGAACCAATCATGAATATAGTGAAAAAACAGTAGTAGCTTCTGCTGAATAAATTTATGGTCTTTTAGAACTTGGAAAAGTCCACACATTAGAACACTGGGACCACTATTACAGTTTAAGCTGTTCAGATCTAAAACTTAACCTAAAATACGCACTTTTAATCAAGTTTCTATAATAACCTATAACCACCAGCTAGACCAATTGCCTAACCCTTTACCACATTCAGCAATGATATGAAGTTCATTTTTCCACAAAATCATCTTCAAAGACACTCATAACTTGAAATCAAAATATCTGAATAAAAAAAGTTCTGTTTCTCATTGGAGGTCTTCACATCCCTTGCATGATACTGCAGACCTCTATCCCAAAAATCTGTTGCTCTTTGCATCTATGTGCTCGTTGCATCTATGTGCAACATGCTGCAGCAAGGCTATGTCGATTACCTTGCAACAGTTGTGAAGAAGTCTTTAAGGAACTCATATCTTCTAGATAGCCTGCGTACCAGACAAACCATACGGACACAGAAGCAATCTATATGCAAATGACTAGGTGCATAAATATGAATAAGCAAACAAAAGGAAGCAATGGAACTATAAAAAAAGTTCAATGTAACATAAAATCTATATGCTGAAGTTCTGTGATTCTAATTGGAAACATTGCTACAGTACAGAGAAAATTGAAAAGGATAACCTTGCAGCAGTTAGGAAAAATCATTGAGGTTCTCACAGCATATGGACCAGAAATATTCAACTCCCCAATCAAATAAAGCAGTATGTCAACTACAATCTCTGTCAGAGACAAATCTACCTGCCAGAATATTTAAAAAAAAATGTTATCAGTAAATAGAAGGATGAGAGGATAAATCAATTGAATGGGAAAAGAAAAAGAAAAAGAAATCATATCCCTCCTCACCTGCCTCATGGTGAAAAATAAATGAGCAGGTGCTCCTTGATATGCATTAATTATATCAAGGAATCTAAATCTAGAACAGAAAAATAAGCTGGAACCAACAGGAGAAATGATGTCCCTCCTACAGATATGAAAGATACTAAATGTCAGTTTAATCTATATTTGAATTAAAAATATACCTAAGAAAACAAAACAGATGAAGGAAAACACAGTAAAGCTCAATTCAGCACCAACCAAACGTTTCTTCGTGCATCCATGTACTGAATTGCAACAAAGAATGAGCTTATGATTCTGAATTTAGATGAGGTGATCTGCCCAACGATACTCACATCGTTGATACTTCCACATATGATAGGAATTTTACCATTTGTATCTGAAAACTCATGAAAGATGGTTAAAGACACCTTATTAATGGTAATGTTTACATGAGGGAGCTCACTACCATATCCTGATCTGCCTTTTCCGATATGAGATGACTCTTCTTGAACTTTACTATTTGAAATGACAACAGAGCTATCACTAGAAACGTTCAGTCTCCTGTCATTTGCCACTTCATTTAATACCTTAGCTTTCAGTGGATTCCCTGGCTTTTTAACGAACTCAGGCCGCCCATCAACAAAAGCAATACCACAATTATTTTTCTGGTTCACCAGGTGGAAAGCTCTCCCAGCAGCTCTGTTATAAGATTTAACTTCTTCATCATCCTCAAAAGAGTCAAAACTGTTAGACTTGAAAGGAAATCTTTGCCAAAGAGCCTTCCTCTTATCATCATTGCTAGAGATTTCTACAAAGCCAGATCCAGGGCTGTAGTTCAAGCGCAGAGGTTCACCTTCATTATCTTTTGCAAACAATGATATTAAAGAAATTTGTGATGGTTGTGACCTCCACCCCTTATGGTATTTCACCTAGAAATGGTACAATCAAGTCAAAGTCATATTCTGCAGAAATCAATGCAAGAAAAACACTCAAGGGACGCCTAGCTTGATAACCACCAAGGACTAGTATTTATAATTATGCCATTTAAAGGCTTGAGCAAAGAAACTATGTGATTCAAGACCATTAATTAGAGCATATAAATTCCCAAATGGGTCCAGAAAAATTTAATTCTTTCTCCTTTCTAACTTTTACTACCTGCTTTCATTAATTTAAATATAAATATTATATGCTAATTCTCTAGAACTATAAGAATGATGTGCATATAGGGAGATTTATTCCAATACTTAAAGTTTAGAACTAGTGGGTGGATATCAGCATAAATCTTGCAGATCTTTCAATCTCTGTAGAGTTGGTAGAACTTTGTTTGCCACTTCAGACTACTAACTGTTGAAAGCTGTTATTATTATAGGAGCCACCCACCCCTAAGTAGAATGAAATAATGAAGTATGATGGAACTAGTTATGGAAGAATCCCCTTCCCTTAAGTACAACGAAATAATGAAGTGTAATGTAACAATCATGAAAGAATGCATCTTTTTCTCTCATATGCAGAAAAAACCACAAAAAATGTGCACGTTGAAATGTTGACACAATTATACTAACTGGTGGAGGCAAATCAGCTGAAGACATCTAAATGGGATCCAAGGAAATACAAAATAGTGGATACAGAAGCAGGGTGCAACCAACGTGACCAGGGGCCATGTACTGCATAAGCGGTTTAAGCAATGCATATTAATCCCTGATTGCCAGAAGGGAAAAAAAGTTCAACATAGGACAAATAATTGAAACAACCAAAAAGGCAAGGACACCCCAAATAATGGAGCAAGATGTGGGTATTGCATGTGAATGACTCAGGATGGCAGTCCAATTTTATCAGCTCTAGAAAGGAAAGAAACTTTAAGTTAACCAAAAATTGAAGAAATAAGAATATATTAGGGAAAGTAGAAAATATAAATGTTTTAAAAAATTACCTGAGCTAATTTTGATAATGACTCATGACAAAAAAATTGAATTAACATCTAGCTATATTCTAACAAAAGGCATCGGAAAAAGCATCACTTTAAAAAAAATATTTGCATTCCATAACATTGCTCCAGTCATCTACGTCTAAAGAATCTCTTTAGACTGCAGGAACATAGGATGGAAACATCCAGGAGAAAGGGACAGTACAAAACAAGAAACTCCTTGCTTTCGTTTCTGATAAGTGCTTATTAAAGGAAGAATGAAATAGTTTCGGGAAAAGGAGTAAAACAAAACAGGTCAGCTTATGGATTGTAAACCAGACTCAAGTGTGCTAGCATTACGGCAAATGTGTTTCATAACAGGATATGTGCCCATAAGAAAGATTTTGCCTCATAACAGAGTACGCATCCAGTGACTTTGCCTCATAACAGAGTACGCATCCAGTGAGAAGCCATTGGAAATACATATTCATTTTCTACTCATACGCACATGCATACTTTGCATTTGATGAAAACAAAGGAGATGCAAAAAAAGAAGGAAAAAAACCTATACAAAATAAGAAAATAATCCTCTTGATAAGAATTTAACAAACCAGGGTGGAGATACAACATAAGAAAACCCAACAGACCTAATACATATGTTTTTCAAGAACATTCCAAGTGTGCAAAAGCAAAAAATCTTGGGTAGTAGGAAGTCCTTCAGACCTAAATGCACAAAATAAATGTAAGGTAGCACTTACTCTGAATAAAGCCCTTTTACCAACAAGAGTATAATGAAGCACACCAATTACACGGTACTTATCATCAACAGCTTCAACTGCAAAATACATGTGCTCGTGCAGATCTTTAATGGCCACAATTGCTCCTGTTCAAGTCATATTTCATAACTTAATTCATGTTAGCTTCTACACTGGGAAAATTCTACAACAAAATGATTCTATAAAGTTGAATACCATCTGGAATTTTATGATCTGGATCAGTAATCCCTTCCTGCGTTCTAGAGGCAACATTTCGCTTCACAATGCCCTGGCTTCCCTTGCTGCCAAACATCCCAGATAAAGATGCTAGCAGTGAAGAAATTATCTACAACATAAAAATATGAATTTTTTTAATAAGCAACAAAAAACAAAAATTTGATGTACAACATATTTTAAGACAAGTTTTAATATACTTGGCATAAGGTTAGATTTACTCCACAACCATTCAACAATCAACAAATTTTCACAAAAGCAAGCAATCAACAAATTTACTCCACAACCATTCAACAATCAACATATTTTAAGACAAGTTTTAATATACTTGGCATAAGGTTAGATTTACTCCACAACCACTCACCAATCAATAAATTTTCACGAGAGAAAGCAAACTGACAGTAGAAATATTTTAAAAGTGAATAGCAACCAAATAAAAAAAGTGATCATAGTGAAGAAACTGACTACACAAACAAAAACTTGCATAGGCTCAGAAATACTTCAAGTTTAAAGATCTTTCAAATTTTCTTTTCCCTTTAGTATGTGTGTGCAAACGCATGTAGTAGAGGAAATAAGATGGGTAAGGAAGGGGAGGGGAGAATGTAGGCGCCCCCCCCCCCCCCCCCAAAAAAAAAAAAAAAAAAAAAACACACACACACACACACACAATCAACACAACCAAAAAAAAAAGAAAAGAAAAAACTCGCCAATTTACACTGCCATGTATAGGAGAAAATAACCCTAAAATGATTAGTGAGAGTCCTAAACATCCGAATCAAGCCCTATAAATCAGTGTCTTGACTCAAGTCAAAGGATTTGCAATTTGGCACATACTAACACTCTGATTAGCCATGTCCTCATGTTCCATCATTAAAACTGGGACCACAATCAACCCTGCTGCAATCCTGCTCCCTCTTTAACTAAGGTTCAATCAAAAGCAGCAGGATTGCGTGGTTTTTCCAGTAGTTGACATATCTTGAATACTTAACCCCTTCTTCCCAAATATTTAACCTCCTAGCATGCTCTCTATACCTAAATAGAAGACAAGACCACCAACAAAAAGAATTTTCTTTTTTGACCTAGAAAAATAGAACATTTACACAATTCCTTTTGATATGCATTTAGAAAGAAAAGAATATTCAAGGCCATGCAATATGGAAGGAGAACAAAGTAATTCCGTACGGAGTGAATACAATATTTTGATGCCCCAATTTGTGAAAGACTCTTATAGTGGAGTGTCAACCTAAATATCAAAAAACATAAAGATGAAAGAGTATTATTCACCTTAATTTCATACAAAGTCATTGTCAAATCAACACCAGAGATAGAACCCGTTCCAATCCAGTCACTCTTCAATAGCAAAAAACCCACTTCGCTTGCTGAAATAATCTTCTCAATCATTATAGAAGCAGCCATATGCTCTAAAATATAGGTGACATGGTAAGAAGAACCAGATGCATCATTCTCCACCAAGTCCTCCGCAAAAGCAGGAGAATTCATAGACTGTACATCAAGTGGAGAAGGAACACTTTCAGTACCTTGAGAAGGAAAGTTACGAATTCCGGATCTTCCTTGAGAGGAAGAAGCAACCAGTGTGCTGGGGTGAAAATGAGGCATGGGTCGATCTATTGATTTATGTGAGATGCATTTATGCAGGCGTTGGGTGAAGATGGATAATCTATGTAAATCAAATGAGAGCTTTCTTTCAGAAGTCAGATGCTTTAATCTCATGTCGATTTCTAATATGAGTCCTTGTGTTTCATCCTCTGAGGGAAATAGACAATGAACGTTAGCATAAACAAGCAGGACAAGTTATTGAAACATGAAAACTGTAATTGTTTACCAGATCCATCATTGCCAGCAAGACATATAGCAAATTGAGAGAAATGTACATCAAAATCCTGAAGGAAGATCAAATTGAATGTCATTCCAGTTTCTGATAATGAGGCGGTGGGTGTGGAAAGAACATGCTCCTCACTGGAAAAGTTATTTGGCTTTTCTATACTCAACTGAGCTTCTCCAAATGATTCTCTAGAATTAACTGACAATACTGATGGGTGCTTTGAAATCAGCAGAAAATAAGCTTGGAAACAGTGGGCAAACATAGACAAAGCTGATGGTTCAAGATAGATGTTCCCACCCTGTCCAACATCATCAACAAATATCACACACGCAAGGAAGCAATTGATTGGAATACATGTCAAACATCTATAGATATCATATTCTTTACTCATAAAATTACACAAGATTAGATATGATTATTACTGAAAACTAAAAGTAAGCACAGTTCAACATTAAAAATGATACCTCATAGATGCAGGAAGAAGAATTGAATGCAAACAGCTTGATAGAATGAAGAAAAGAAACACATAGATGTACCAGAAGAATAAACTTATTTGTGAATTTACAGCAAAAATAAAAGGCACCTGGATATTCCAATCGACTGTGTGAAGTTCTCTGCAAGAATGAATTGAAATCTCTAGCTTATTTGATTGATGTGATCCTGGTAACCGCCTCATGCCATATCCCAACATAGATATCTCACCAAGTTGGATATCAACAAGAAGACAGCAGCTTGAAGCTTCCTTTGGACTTCTTGTATTACGTAAATGACACACTTCCAATGCATGATCAGGAGCATTAATTTCAGGCTTCCATTCTTCAGTAATAGTAGCAGAAGCTCCATGATTGCTAGAATCAAAACCATTTGTTACATCAAAGACATTTGTAGAAGATAATTTTCCACCACCAAATCCCGTTCGAATGCCAAAGATGAAATTAGATAAGAAAAACCGATAGAAATAATCAGAGGATTTCTCAACCCAGCTCTTAATTTTAGAGATGTCATTACAAGCTTTCAACATGCTCTGGAAACTAAAGATAACAGACTCCATTCCTGGAAAATCGACTAGAATGTCCAAATGATTTCCTTCTCCAGAAATCTGTACACAAGATCTTTTTATGAAGATTCCTACACCAAATCCAGGCAAATCTAGCATTTCTAGAATCTTTAACTTCTTGCCCGAGTTTGTGTTGCTACTGGAAGCCCCATTAAAGTTCATAGAAGTCCCACTGCTTGCTTTCCGTCGAGAATCATTCAAAACAATATCCAGTACCTCCAACTCAATAGTGGCATCAACTAAAATCTTTGTATTTTTAATAATCATAGCTTCAGTATTAGCTTCTGATTTGACCATGTTTCTTTCTGTATCTTCTCTGGCTGTAGTCGCAAGCTTTGTGACAAAATCTTGAGAATAACCAATAGTAGTAGTTTCAAAACAAGCACAGGTAGGTAATACCAACGAAAACATGCCTTCAAAAATCTAGGAAAACAAAAAGTTTTAATTAAGTTCAAGGAAAAACCAGTAAAATTTTGGTCAAATAGAAACTCCTAAAAATGCAAAAAGGAAAAAACAAAAGATTCTATGTCTGTCCAGATTATTTTTATCTGTTTCTACCTACTCAATAAATGACCTGGACAAAATGACTGACAAATAAACAGGGTTGATTCTCAGTCTGACTCTGAACATATTTCCTCACTCCATGCGAAAATTAAGCTTTGCTCCAAATGAGTTCCATATTCATAAAGATGAAGTGATTACTCATAAAGGGGCATAGAAAGAGAATCTGACCTATATTAAGAAAGAGGTAGTTCCACTTCTCATGAATTGGATTACACCCAGCTTCACTCATGAAACCATAATAGAGGGAAAAAACATCTAGTGGATTTCTGAAAATATTGTGCATATGTTGGTCTACAACTGCCGCAAAAGAGATTGGTTATATGCAAGACAACCATTCACTTAGAAAAAAAGATTTGGGCAACTAAGCAAGTGCGGGTGTTAAATTATTCAAGTGCAATTCATAGCTTCCCTATAGAAACTTTCGCATAATCACCGTACCCATGGAACTTGTGGATCAAATGTTGGTCAATTAAGAAACATGGCAGTAAATTAATCGTACAAAAACGAGAATGTTGAGATAGATAAATGGAAAATGCAGAAAGAAGTGCAAAAATGGTGTGCCATAAAAGTCAAAGATTGTTACAAATGAAAATAAATAAGAAAGTGTAACTTAAATTGCCTTGGACTGGGAGTCTTTGGACATATGTAATGGAGGTCAATAAGTGACTGGTTAAAATAAGTGACAGAATAATAGAACAAGAGAAACAGAAGGATTAGAGGGAGCCCAAATGAACATGGAAAGAAGCAACTAGAAGGATATAGTAATTGTTAATTTAAACGAGCAGATGTCTGTAACTGAGCTGGATGAAAGGAAAAAATTCATGCAATCAATCCAAAGTTTGGTCTGAAGTCTTTGTTGTTGAAGTTAAACAATATACATTCATGTGCTATCTATACTATTGGCTGACTGTTATTCACTATGGCATACATAGTTTTTTATCTATTGTATTCTGCCATGCATTTCAATGGATAAGGTTTATTTGTTTTGAAATGCATAACATTTTTATGATGAGTGTCTTTGATCACTCTTTCAATCGCTTAATAGGAATAAAGGCTAAAGTACAATCACATTCTAAATTTTGCGCTGCATGTTATTTGTATTGTTTATACATTGGGATTGGAACCAATTATTCTTGAAACTGCCCAAACTGTCCATGAATTAGATATGATCTATTCAACTTCTAAATGTGCAATTAAAAAGTAGCGTTAGTTGTGCCTCTTTACCAAAGTCTAAAGTCTGCATGTACAAGTGCAAGAGTTTCCAGGGGATAGAATACATCACCTTCTCTGATACTCCAACTTATCCTCTCTCAATTTGATCAAAACTACAAAGGGAAGTTGTCCAGGCGAACCCTTGCAAGGTTTTGTCCTGTCTTGTACTATTATTCAACCTATGAGCGAATTCAAACTCAAGAACGCAGAACTTTAAGAATAGTATTCTCCTGCGTCAAAGCTTCAAGTACTCTTTACGTACTATTTCCTTTTCCACTGCACATCCTTTTTAACAGCTTATGAAGACACAAATAGGTGATCCATTTAACAAAAAAAGCTTAAACTGTAAGCACATGGGCAAACAATTTATACATTGTGCCAAGTTTAATGCCTCCCAAAGACAATATGTGCCGATCTGATTCACAAGACTATTAGTCGTAAGAATTAAAAAACAAATGCTTAACAATCTAAAAAATGGGACATTTCATTTAGAGTGCGTCAGTACTCTGTTAGATGACCTCTTTACCCAATTGTAAAATATTAGATAGTGGACTGAGAATGTTGATTATATTTGTATCAACTTAAACTCCTCTACATGTGTGGCCAGCTACCTACCGCACAACAAGGGAAAAATCAGAAGCAATGTTTATACATTAACAACAAGGCCTGATGTCAATGCTTAAACTAGCAGCCCAGGCATCTTCTAACCATTGATTAATAGATTGTTCTGATGAATCATGGCGTTCAATTTCCAAATATAATCAAGTAATCTAGATGGCCATACAAGATAATCAAGCTATAGGCTAGCTGGACCTATGGCAGGCCCTCGGATCCCAAGCAGTAGCCATTGACCCATTACACGCGACTTATATTAGTTTAATGGTCTTTAACCCATAGTTAAACAAGATGAGACAGGAAGTGAGATATTCCAAAGCACTTGAGAAATAAGGACAAATGTTCCTGTGCATATATATATACAGGCATGTGCCTCCATACATTCAACATACATTATTCTACATATATACATACATATATATTGTATATTATAACATATATGTATGCATGTACATGTTTATGTATTTTTTCATTTCTTCAATCAACTTCATGGTGCTTTTCTAATTTTTCAGTGATCAGTTATTATACGCAGTCAAAAGTGTGAATGGTTGTGAACTTTAATATGTTTAATTGTCTCTTGAATAATGAACTTCTGACTCTTGCCAATTGTGAACCTTGTTTGTGCTCTACATTTTCAATTATTAATTACTATTTTCAACCACTAGTATGGGTGTATGCGCGATCATTATTATATGAATACTCTTGAGTAATGAATTTAGCTATTGGCAATGTTCATGGTATGAACATAGACTAAATGAATTGCATCAATGTGGCCCTAATATATTGGGCCTTGTTTCAAGGTTCCTGAGTTCACATCATTAAAATTTTCCTTTCACTCTGTACTTCTTCTAAATTGGAATTAGATACACGAAATTTTTAAAATAGGAGCATGCATGCAAGCATATAAATTTCTTGAGGGTACAATCAAGCATAAATATGAAGCTATATATTCAATAGAAGTAAGAACTAAATGTATAGTAGTATGCATTATATTACTGTAAGGAAAAAAGATGTAATAAAGCATGAAACTAACTATTGAAAAACATAACTTAGAACAGAAAACATATCCTGCAAGAAAGACTGTGTTTGCATGAGGAGAAATCACAATTTTTTCAAGTTCATAGAACTGACTATACGAGGAACATCTTATTGAACTATAACCATAAGTAGCTATACTTCAATGACACGATAGAAAATAACTCAAATTGGCAGCACCTGGAGAAAAGTCCATAGCTCATCCATGTAGAGAAAAACAGCAGCCTCAGAGGTGAATGCCTTCACGGCCATCGAAAAAATATTTTCTGTTGTAGTAAGAGAATGAAGACAGTCTCTGTAAAGGGATTCACAGTCATTACAAATGGTAGGCAATAAAACCTCAAATAAAAATCCATAAAAACATGTGGATGGGAACAAGACGCAAGAGTACTGGACTTCACTATCGTCCTATTCAAATGAATGATGATACTACCTATACAAGGTTTTCTGCAATTACAAAAATGGGTATGGACAGAAAAACAGATCATTTATCTTATGTTGTTGTTGTTGTTGTTGCCATCAGTGCATTAAGGTACATTGTGTTAAAAATGAGCTACACTCTTAAAAGGTTACATGCATGAACCTTCAAGCAAATAATAGTAAAGAGGACAGACACAAAAGCGGTAAAAAATCGGGAAGTTTGAAAAAAATACCTGCATGTTGACCACTGAAGTGTTATTGACATTGGCTCAATAATCGAAGACTGTTGGTTCCATTCCAGATCATCAACAACAACAGTTAGACCATTCAGCTTCAGGCAAGCATCAAGTGCAATATGCTCTCGACAGAAAAAGTTTTCATTTGAGTGAGGTTTCGGAATATCTACTACACGGGGATCCTTTTGCCAAAGATATTCTAATGTAGTTTCATTAAAGATTGATTGCCCGGTTAATGGGGCAACAACAGATTTAGAAGTTGGCCACACAGCGAATTCAATATTCTTAACATCAAAACAATAATGGTAACTTCCTTGAGCAATAGGAGAACCGAAATCCTGCTCAATAACACCTAATAATATGTCCTGCGATGACATCCGGATACTTGGACCAGCAATGAATACTCCAATTTGAATATTTTTATTAGGAATTGAGTTGTGCATTGCAATTTTCAATGTATTAATATAAAACTCCATCCCATCCTCCCCTCCTATTTTAGAACTCTCTGCCAAAACACCTGAAGAGCAAGGAATTTGCTTTCTTCCAACACTGATAGCCAACTGATGATAACATTGCATCTGCTTAACCAGCAGAGCACTAGAGAGTATCGAGGAATAGCTTAAACTAATATTCAACTTTCCAAGCACCAAGCTGTATTTCCAAAGGCCATGTCCTCCCTGTGTTTTATATGGATCTACAAAGATGTTCTTTAACTCACAAAGAACAAATGGCTTATCTTTATGCTTAACATTCATCTCTTCATATTTTCTGCTAAATTTTATCCAACTTGACTGCAAATCACCAATGCTGTTTTCCAAATTAAAAACCAAAACATCATTGGAGGTATTTGAACAATTAGCAGAAGTACCTTCTGATGGATGATATACACAAGCAGGGTCACCCCACAGAATTACATCTGATGCATCACCTCCCTCATGTTTCAATCCTTTGAAAGATGGCATCCTCTCACTTCTCAGATCGCTCCTCTTAAGTGAATCTTTTGATGATAAAGAGAGGCATAATTTGAGTTCGCCAAGGGCCACGAAAAATAAAGTTGTAGCAGTGCCTGCCGTAAAGTCTAAGCAGAAAAACTTCATGATGAAACAAAATGAAGCGAATTGCAAGTCTGGAGGATACACCTTATTGCTTTTTTTTGTAGAAATAATAGCATGATGAATATTTGCATGCGATAAAGTGATGTAAACTTCTCCTAAGCTAAGACTGAACTGGAATTCAGATATAAAATTATTTGAAGCTGCCTCAAGCAGGGTTCGTTGACGTGCAGTGGAGATACTCTTCATCGAAAGAAGTTGCACAACTGACAGAAAGATGAAGTGGATGATTTTCCAGAAACGCAAAAGAAACCCAACAATTTTTAACAGTAAAGTCGTCGTAAAACCAATTTTTGATTCCAAATCAGGCAAGTTTAAGTGAGACGATACTCTCTGGCGAGCTATTCGACGTGCACGTGCTACAACTTCTGCAGGAAGTTTCGCTTCAAGATCATAAACTAATTCCCATTTATGCTTCACAAGTTTCAACCTCTTATTGTCATTGGACACCATAGCCAAGTTTTCTTCTAAGGTCTTGCTGTCATAATAACCAATCGCAGCTAGCAATAACTTGTAGGCACGAATATAACGCAAGAAAAGCAAAACAATATTCACAGCCTCATGGAGAGAAAGTTTAGAAGTTAGAACCCAGGGACAGGTTTTTTCTGCAGCTGTTTTCCACAACTCCTTGCCAGTCCTACTATTTCTAATTTCTTTGAAAGACAGAACATGCAGCAATATAATAAGATTAGGAATAGTTGATGGTAAAATTTTGACATTGACATGTGGAATATGGACAACATAGTTTAAAGGCTGAAGATCATTTAGTCTGACATGTACAGACAAACCCATTAAGGAGGCAATCAAGTTTTCATGGCCATTCTCCTTCTGTCCAGATTCTATGCAACTGCAACTAATAGCCAATTCAGTTTCTTTGCCAGAAATAAGTAATAAGCCAGCCAAGCCTCTGAACAGAGATATTTGGTCAAGAAACTGTGATTCCAGAGAAAAATCATTCACCTTCAACATAAATTTGTGTGATGCATCAATAAGTTGTAGCTGTATGTAGATGTCTGTAAATTGTATATGACAAGACCTAAGCATAACATTTGCCAAAATTTTAGTCAACCAATTTCCTGAAGAACCTTTGACTAGAATTTTTCCAATAATTTCATGCAAAGAAACACCCTGAAATTATTAAAGAAAAAAATTATCATCAAACTAGTTCGAAGTCGGAAAAAAGCTTTTAGAAAGATGAAACATCAACAGCTGATTTCATACACATGCAAAGGATGACGATAACAACTCACACCAGACACCCGCACCTATAAACACACATGTATCATGTCTTCGTGTATCTATATGCAAGTGTGTGTGTGTGTGTGTGTGTTATGTGTATTTGCTTGTGTTGGGAGTATATGTGTATATAAATGTACAACATGCACAGGCATCATCATCATCGTCTAAGCCTTTCCCAGCAGAATGTGATCAACTGAGGGATACAAGGCTCTATATAAGAGAATAAGAGAGAGAAAATTAAGATATCAGCAGTCAACTAGCATCAACCCTGGTTAAGGAATTTGTGGACAAGAGAGGGACTTTCATTTGAAGAGTTTCCTATTTGTAAAGCCAGATTAATAGATGATTCATACTTGAATCAACCCTAAGAAAAAAGATATACATATTGTCTTCTGCTTCATCAAACTCTTCAATAGTTTGATGTACATAGTGTAGTGGTGAGTGCAGACTAGATCCACCCTATATTAAAATGAGAAAGTAACCTCGACACCCTTTCCAACACTATATTTTATTCAAAGTAATGCTGACACTATTGCTTAATTACCCTCACATGTGATACAATCATAAACATTCTATACATAGTGGGAAAGTATTGATTCCTACTTTTAGAAAATAGAAATTACTATAAACTCCATACGTCAAATATCTCGTAAATATAAGTAGATTCTTATCAATAATGCTAGTCGGTCTTCACATTATTTAAATACATTTTCATAACCAATTCACACCTGATAACCACCTAAAACCGCTTTAACTTCGATAAGAAACTTTGTATTTTTTGGCGTCTAAACTCATCCAAATGAAATCATTAATCTTTCAGCAGAAGTTCAGAACTTCATGCATATGGCATTGCAAGCAGTGCAATTATGAGAAAATCTAGACAATCAACAACAGCAGTGGCCAGAGTGAGAAATAATGGCACAAAATACAGTTATAACAAGTCACTGTGCAGCCTGCTTGTTCAATCCAAAACAGCCATCATATGTGTATTAAAAAAAGTATTAAACCTCTGATTCACTCAATTTTCTGCTGATGCAAACCTGCAGGGTGTTCTCTTTCTAATAGTGTATCTCAAATCAATTTTAGTAATCAATTCTCTAACTTGGAATGAGGGTTCCTTTCCACATACTTCCTTAATATGTTAGAAACTGGAGAATTGGTTTTCCTTGGTATATCTTACACACATTTTAGATATGCATTGCATCCTACACAATTAAATATGATTTCTCCGCTTTTTTTTTTTTTTTTTTTGGGGGGGGGGGGCTAAAACCTATTATTTTTTAAGTAATATCATAAGTTGATTTATATAATAAGTTTCCTGCATGCGAATAATGTGAGATATGAATTATAAAGGAAAGGAATAGATAAGAGATTAAAAAAGGCATCCAAATGCATTTCTGATATCATATATAATGATTCTTTGGTCAAGTTACCATAATCTTTGAAATCCATGACAGAAAGATATATTCTGTATTGGTGTGTCTCGCCGTTCAAAATATTGGAAGGAGGTATCTTTTCCAGAGATGTGTCCTGCCATATGTGACCACAGTTTCTAGGATTTAATTTGATTAATTAGTTCATTTTGTGCTACATGCACGTAAATGCACAGATAATGAATCAGACTGAACGCCATATGTGACCACAGTTTCTAGCAATTATACCTATATGCGTTCAAATCAAAACCCAAAAAGACTTCACGGGAGCAAAAATTGTGAAAATATTATGCTAGATCAGACTTAACGCCAAAGATAATGAATCTTATTTTGGTAAATTTTGATGTTGATTTTGATTTGGTAATTTGGTAATTATTCTTTCCTAGTTAAAAAGTACCCATTGTTAATAATTTAGAAGGTAAATGCAACAAAAGCACAAATTTCATAGCACTTCATAAGATTTGGGAAACAACTTTCAAAATAAGGAGATGTGGGGGCTAATTTCAAATAGGAAAGGTTTTGGGGAATAATTTCAAATATGAAAGATTTGGAAGATTTAGGGGACTAATTTCAAATATGAAAACTTTGGAAGATTTAGGGGACTAATCTCAAATGCAAAAGCCTTGGAAGATTTGAGGAAGTAATTTCAATTGTGAATGGCTGAGGGACTAATTTGAAATATGATAGACGTAGGCGACAAACACGGGAAAAAATCCCATACATATGTAATATATATACATGTTTGTAAAAAGCTAGGGAGGGTCACGCCCCCCTCCTCCCCCCTAGCTCCGCCAATGGCTGCATGGAACATAAGAGTTGATTATGCTTTTCTGACATCCACTCCCTTATTTGTGATTCATCGCATGTTCTCATGAACTTGGAAGTTACGCTCTCTGCACAATATTGCTATGCTCCACAAAACAGCTACAAAAATGGAGTTCAATCTTGCGGTATGATCAATTTGTTACATTAACTATGTCTGGTAATAGTTCTCAGCCTGTTTATCAAATTAGTCTGTCAAGAACAGGCGAATTAGCTCATAAAGACAAGTTGTTTATCAAACTATACTGTTTATCATGTCATATCCGTGTCTGACATTTGTGTTGATGTTACGTATGAACTGCATTCTCCGAGGTACAAACTAACCTAAATATCCCAATAAAGCTTTTCAACATTAGTTAATTCAATCATCAATAGGAAAAGGTGAGCATGGATATAACATTGTAACTTATGAGATGGGATTGTCTCCCGCATGGACCTAGCAATTTACTGCACAAGAATCAACCACAATTCATATTCTGAAATTGAGATCCAATAATATTTAAAGAATCATTGCTCGCATAAAAAAGTAATTTAAAAAACACACATTTGACCACATTAGCAGCAGGTCGTTGCATAGTTCATCGACTTCAAAATCTATTCTTACCTCAGGATCCAAGGCAGCAATCTGTTCCTTTCTTTTTCGCGCCACAAAATCTCGTGGAGCACGCCGCTCCTGCACTGGCTCCCTTGAAACCAAGTTAAAGGTAACAATCAGACTTCGCTTATTACAGAACTCGACGGATTGAAAAATCAAAAGAACTATCAGAATCAAGCGAAAAACCTAGGAGTTACGGTTACGTCAACGCCTCTCGCATCGAGAATCAGGGAGGGGAAAGACCAGGGAGAAATCCGAATGCTGAGTTCTTCGACCTTCACGCTTTCAAACACTAATCTTGTGGAATCCTCAATAAACGGATTGAGAGATGACGGATTAAAAACGAGATTCTTCACACTGACGATCAATCGTCGAAACCCTAGCTTCAACTCAAACTCCGGTTCTTCATCTAGCCATGGACGGAGAAGAGAAGCGAGCTTCGATCGCACAAAGCTAGCGAATAACATAGTGAAGAATTAAAATCTAGGGATTTAGTAGATTGGAAACCCTAATTATTGAATTATCGATAGCCATGGAAGAAAATAGGATGAAATTCTAAAACCCTCGCT